CAGGTTTTCCAAGGTATTGGACACATCTGTGCAGTGTATCGCTACCTGTCAAGAGCCAATGTGTTTCCTCTAACCACTGCTCTGCTGAGATACTTGTATTCACATCTTCCACCCTCACCTTGTTTAAAACAGTTGGCAAATGGCTAAAACAGGCTGTTGTCAGATCATCCTTAGGCTTGCCAACTGGCAATAGCAGGAGGTGGTAAGCCCTATACAGCTGTGGTTTGAGGAAGTGGAAGTGGCGGGTAGGACATGGACACTGAATGAGGATTCAGATCTTGAAAACAGCCCTGTTTTTAGTGAAGATGATCATTGCATTAACTTTTCTGGTGTTCTTACAGGATGCTGTCATTTATACTATTTACTCTTGTCACTTCACTCACTTTCCCATTAGTTTTTGCACAAGACATAGACTCCAGACCACTTGCTTCCATTAGATACTGGTACATAGGTGGTACCTGTTTTTTTCCAACTTATGTTTTCCAACTCCATATTTGACTCACGTAATCATAGCAACACTATTTTCTTAGAAGAATATGATTCTTTATTCGGGAACTCATTATTTGTCCTGTTAAAAAGATTTCTTCATCTACTCATGCATGCTGTAAGATGTCAGATTTTTCCAATTCTTTTCCTGCAGAAAAGACAAGCTGAGGAGTGGAAATTGAAAGAGTTAGGTATAGATTTATGTGCTGAATATATCTGACACACATATTAAAACAGTAGGGAGGGAAAAGAACCAGGTATCCATCAGAGATAAAGATTGATTGCCCTCTTAAGACTGTGTGTTGCTTTTCTCCCTTCTTCTGGGGAATTATGTTGGTTGGTACTCCCTGAAAAATACTGAGGAATGAATCCTTCTGTGAAATCACAGATAGTAACAAACCAGATGGATTTCTGGTGCTTACAAAGTGGCTTGTTAGTGTTAACTCCAGCAAGTGAGGCAGTACTTTAAAGGGCTTGACAGAGAATGACCAGTGTTTCTCTTTAAGCTACTTAGAAGGGAGTCCTGTGTTAAATTCTTCTCAGTGGCTGTTTTTTCGCCATAATCAACACACAGATAAGATCAGGAATTTATTTTCTGGTTTGTATTTTGGGTTTGGAAAACAGCATTTAGTTCTGCCTTCATTTTTTTAGTCAATTGTGTAATCCGAAATTGAAAGCAGGGGCAAGTCTGAATGCAGCAATACAGAATAATGCTGTGGAATATCTTGTGATGTATTTTCAAGAGGAAGCGTATCTGGTATCAAAAGTTCTGGTGTGAAGAGTTTCTGTTAATGGTGTTTTGTGTGTTTAGTCAGCACAGGAAGACTTTGAAAGTTTTAAATATCTCTAAAAATGTTTGTGTGTGCCTGTCTGTGTCTCTGTGTCTGATTCTCTAAGTTGTCTGTCTAGCCTGTATATTATATTTAATATCCAGCTGCAGCTGGGTATCCTAGTACTTTAAACCAAAGAGTCAGCATTACCAGTTTTCCTGCCTTCTCAGAAGAGTCAGTCAGCCGCGAGTTGTCATTTCCCATGTTTGGGAAGTACCCTCGTGTGCTTTTAAGTGATAGTTATTACTCAAGAACATGCCTTTACACCTTGCCAAATTCAGTGAAGTTTCGGAGAAGCACAAAGTTGCAACAACTCCGGAAACACTGAAGAAGACTCAGCTTTTGAGTTTGTATCAAAGGCAGTGCTCACTTAATGGCTGTATACCACCAGAATAAATAAGGAGCCAGATCTTTGATGAGGTTTGAGAGGGACTTTTCCGCTGAGTTAAGCAGAGTGGAGCTGTGTATCAAGTTCCCTTGTGCTCATCAGAATCAGTGAGGGATTTTCCATCAGGCTCTGTAAAGAGCAGGTGATTAGTTTGTAAAGGTAAGCATCCCAGAAGGAGTGTTTGGCAAGTAGGAGAGGTTTGCTCTGTTAAAAGCTCAGCAGTATGCTCTGCAACACACCTCATGCCTTGATGGATGCTGTGGGTATGACCGTTCCTCTCATTCTCACCAGCATTTTAAGTAAGCTAGCTTTTTCTTTGCCTCCTTCATAACTTTATCTGTCTCTTGGAGAAACCATTGCCTGTGTGTTTTTCTTTCCTATTGTAACAAACAACTGGAAGTAGATCAGTCTTCCAAAACATGTACCAGGTCACTGTTTTAAGGATCATGCGGGTTTTGTTTGCTTGCTGCTTAGTTTGTTGTTTGTTTAAAAAAAGCACATCCATTTCATTGTCATGGCTGAAATCAGTAAAAGCTGAAGCAAATATATGCAGGAATGCAGTGTGACTGTATGTCTGTACTTCTGTGTCCTACATTTAGCAATAATAATATAGATCAACACAGAGAAAGTTTCTGAGTCAGAGATGATGTTTTGTAAGTTTTAACATTATTCTGACTTTACAACTTTGGTGAGCATTTCCAAAGCCAAGCAGGTGTTGAAACAGAAGGCTGGTTAAGTAGAAGCAGGGAGAAGACTGCAGAGCCATTTGCCAGAAACGTTCTCCTGACCGGATGGGTGGAATAGGATGTAATGAATGTAAGGGACCTTGAATATAACTGTCCAACCAAACAAAAACCCAGACATGAAGGGAGGGAGAAGCTTCGGGAGAATTTGTATTACTGTAAAAAAATAAATTCTGACTCTACGGAAAAGTTAGGAATGGCATGGTAGGTCCATGCTTCATAACTCTCAAGCAGTGAAGCATTCACAGCTGCATATGACTGAAACACATGGCAAACTCATTTAAAGCCGTCTGGTTACATTTTAGGCATAAATTACCTAGGCTTTTATTCTTTCCTTTGCCTAGACACACGAATGCCTCAGCTCCTGTCTCTGATGCCATTTTTTTCTTTGAGGTAAGAATGGAGACCCATTTTGCCTGTTGAATATGTTGCTTATGATGTTTTGTTATTCTATCAGGAAGCAGTTTGCACTGCTTCTGAAGGAGGATAGCCAATTTTACAACTCCAGTAGTGTCCACATTACCCTCTTTACTGCTTTTCTAACAGGATAAGATGCTGTTGTCTTCAAGTATCTGTTCAGCAGCAGATGGAGAAAGAAGTGAATCATAGAATCATAGAATAGTTAAGTGGTGGTGTTTTACCTCACAGATCTGCTGTGGTTATTGATAGTATAATATGGACATGCAGGGGACTGCAAAGATTGATGCTGCTTCAAGCAGCATTAGCGCCTAATTAATCTTCAGATAAGGGAGATAAAGGAATAATTTAAAACTGGGAAGAAACCACAGACTTTGGCAACAAGTGCTCTTTTTCTGAGCATGTTTCATCTCCTTTCTACTAGCAGCAGATTTTTGGAGAGGAAGGCACTGAGCAGCCTCCACAAGGCACGTGTCCCTGCAGCCTGTACAGAAGCCTGGCAGCCCATGCCGAGGCAGGTCGGAGCCCAGATGCTGGGGAGTGGCCAGGGCTGGGACAGGGCATCCTCAGATGGGAAAATCAGCTTTGGAAACAGTGTCAGGCCCTCTCAATAATGGTTCTGCATGGTGTCAAACCACACCAGGGCTTGTGGAACTGACCTGCCCTCCCTGGGAAGAGCTTCCTGTCAAACTGAGTGCTGCTGGGTATTTCCAGATTCTAGGTGCCTACTTTGGTCAGACGTAGTTATCATGGTGTTTATGTATTTATAAATTGTATTTTGGTCTTTACTTCCTATTATAGTTTCTCTTTATGATCCTTCAAAGAAAGAAGAGGGAGAGGCATTTTGTATCTCCTTATGTATAAAACATTAGGAAGCTGTCCAGCAGTGTGCTGAATTATATCAAGTTATGCTTCTGGTATTTGTTGCTCTGAAGTCATAAGCCTAACTGCAGATGTTTAAAAGAAAAATTAAACACCTCAAGCCCCAAAAATATTTAAGGAGAAAAAGGGACAGATTTTTCCATGAACATTCACCTTTGTCACCTTTAATAAGTCAGAGGAGAAGCAACTACTAGTTCAGATCACTGTATGGATCACTGTGAAGATCACACCTTACTGTATAAATTGCTGTACTAATTACCATTGTCTTTATAACAGCTGCAAATGACATTATTCCATTCTGTTACATGCATGGTAGCAAAAGAATAAGTGATGCAAGACAGTTTATGATTCTACAAGAAATGAAAACTAAAGCTCTGGAAGGGGAAAAAAGTCCTAGATTTCTGCATGGGAGAACAAAGATAGAGTTGCAAAACTGTCAGAAAGCTGTTTGCATTAGATATTAGTGATCTTATGACAAACTATTGGAGCCAGCTAAGAAGATTTTCAAAAACTTCTCATAACTTGGTAAATTTAAATAGATTCTCCAAGGGAAGTGCTGTATGGTCTCAATATGAAAGAGGACTTAAATGGAAAACCTGCACAACTACGGTGACCCTTATATGTGGCAGCCTTCAGCCTTGGCAGCAAACAGCACACATTTCTGCCATGTATGTGGATGGCTACTGGACAGATCATCTGATATTTCTTTCCAGAATGGGGTATTTACTGGAGAGTTTATGCCAGAGTGCCCTTAAATCAGATTAGAAAAAAAACCTGTATGGATCCCAAACCCCAGTTCCTAATGGACTCTGGGAGTGCTCCAAGGCCCCATGCTTCAGTGCTGGTCAAGTCTTCAAGAAGATTTGTGTCCATGTTCCCTTTGTGTCCATGTGTAGGCAGAAGTAACTAGGCAGAGAATGTATCTCCATGTTTCCTGTTGGCCACAGCTTCAGTAACAGTGATTGAAATCCTTTTTCTTACATTAAATTGACAGGTGTCTTGCTTTTGGAGGTGAATAATTTCTTTCTTGTGGGATGCAGCACCATTTACCTCGAGAATTAGTAGGGTATTAAAGCTGATAAAAATGACAAAATGGTGCATGCTAATTGACAGTTATGTTCATTGTCGTTGAATGTCACAGGGGGGACAGAACCACAGTGGTACATAAAAACAAGAGCAGAGATGCAGAAATATTAACTAGGAAGATGTGTGTTCAGGCTTTACAACAAATGCTATTTGTTACCTGTAAATGTAAATCTCCCCCTCTTGTTTTACAGAAAGAGATGACAACCAGGATGTGTCACTAAAAGGCTATCCACTGAAGAAAAGCAAAGTCCAGTTTTCTTCTTACTGCAGAGTTCAAGAATGTCACAGCCCTTGTGGACTGAGCCTGCTTGTTAATCCATGAAAGCACAAAAGATGGGAACCACAGTTAATTTCACGAATGCTTTCCACCACTTTCAGTGTTCTTAGCCCTGCATATGTTGCTAGGAACCTCATCTGAGCAACATGGATTATTGAGAAAAAGAAGAATCAATTTCATATTAGATCTAACTTCTCCATTAGGGATAAGAACCTCTTCAGCCACAAATGATGGCAGAATGTGCTCCTGCTGCTAAAGCTTTACTGAAATTCAGGTCAGGTCCCTGGGCTGACCTCCAGATTAGTTGTTTAGGAATGAAACTGGATTGTTAGCAGCAATGTTGTTTTCTTTTTATTTTGTTTCTTGGTTTGTGCTTTGTTTCCCAAGTGCAGCAGAGTATTAAGATGATCTGGAATTAATCTGAAATCACAGAAGACGTCTAGCCTTTAATGCCTCTCCCCATCACCAGGCCACCCAAGGCTTGGCCATTGTTCCCCAATGCCAGTGAGACTTGTATTTCCAGGAACACAGCTGTATTCTTCACCTGATCAGGCAGCTTGTGCTTCATTGTGACTCTGAATTGAGTGACAGGGGAGAGTTTCTGATCTAAATTACATGAGTAGAAATCCAGATACAGCTCTGCAGTGTTGAAATCTATTCTTTGAATTCATCCTGTGACTGACAGCAAATCTGCTCAGTATCTTTGCTGTACTCAGCATTTTCCTGAAGTACCCGATGAAGTACAACAATGTGATTTGGTATCCTCCTGTCCTCTTAGAAAAAGGATCTCTCTCATTCATCTTTTCAGGGAAAAATAAACTTAATTTTAGTTACTGTTCTTAAATATAGTTACTTCCTGGAAGGAAGATGGAGTGAAGACGTGTAACATAAAAGTTAGAGTGGGAGGGACTAAGTGGAGGTCTCTGTTGCATCTGAACAGTGTCCAGCAGTGTGGCTTGCTTTCCACGCAAAGTTTTTTTGCAATACTCAGGCCAACTTAACTAATTCATGTATGTACAGCCTGGAAGCATACATTGCAGTAAATCAAGTCTTCTATGCCAAATACACCCTGATAAGAGGCTTTCTTCTGAAAAACAAAAAAGAAGAAAAAAAAGAATACTAAAGCAATATTTCACAGAGAGATCACAAGAGACATACAGCTGAGTACATGGAGTCAAGTGGAACACACTTGCATATTTTGTGCCTTCTAATGAATTTTGCACACTTGTGTTATTGTGAAAGATTATTCCTTCCTGAGTAAGTGCTGAACTCTGTTGCTCCCTTCTTCTCAAGTGAGTTAGGTATGTTTACATCTTCTGAGACAGTATCAGAAGCAAATCTCACAGATCATGGAAGGGGTAGCATGCACTAAAGAGTAACAGCAGTTTCAAGCTCATATTGTGGTACATTCTGATTTGCTTGCCTGCTTGCTTAAATTGGGGCTTGTAAATGTTATTGATTGTCCTTTCCATGACGAAGGGCTTTTAGTGTAGCTAGGGTGAAGGCTTTTCTGCATCTTTAAATTATGCAAGCAGCATTATCCTTTGCTTTCAAGGGGATGGACTGTAGTGTTCCTACCTCCTTTGGTGGTCTTTGCAATCGGGTTAATTCTTTGGATGTTGGAATGTGCACACAGATAACTTCTGGCCTGCTGGCACTTTTGCAGGATATAACTAGCTTGTGGAATTCATTGCCACAGCTGCTGCCAAGCTTAGTTGCCTGATTTTAAAGATGAGAAATGTTACATCTGTGGAAGAACATACATGGTACATGTGGATGACGGCTGCCTGGAATTACGACATTAATTGCATACAAAAAGGTTTCTTGCACCCCTCTGAAGTGCCTGGGCTGTTGCACTGTTGGTGATGGAGCTGTAGCTGGTGCTACAGCTCTTGAATTTCAGTGTGGTCAGTTGCCATCTGCTGTTCTTGTGGCTGGGCAATACTGTAGTGCTGTATTTTAAAGATTAACACAAACATGCAAATGTGTGAAATTTTGTTTATAAAGATTAAAGTCACTACATAATTTGAAAATCATGGTATTATATGCATAAAATACCTTCATCTTATTATGCTACTTACCACATACTGGTTTGAGTCTGTTCACTGTAGCTGTCTGAAGTAGAATTTGTTCCCAGTTACTTTGGATTGTATTTTAATGACCTTTTTGCGAATGTGTTGATCTTGTGAATGCAAAACTTGTCTGTTGGAGTATTTTTCTTCTTCTGAAACTGCTTGTCATAAACTCTTGTGTTTCTTTTTCTAGTACAGCACACTGTATCAGGAAATGCAGAGTTTACACTAGAGGATTTGTGTTTGACCTGGCCAAAATTCCTGTAGTTAGAAAAACCTGTTACAATCCAGGAGCTGAACCAGCCACAAGGAAGTGCAAAATGTACTTGTTCTGGTTGTTTATTCTACTGGGGAGAACAGTGAGGTTGCTAGGTGATTAAATAAATTTCCTCTGAATGGTAGAGTTTGGCCTTTGGCTAAATATGCCTCCAAACAGGTGCACTTGATTCCACGGCAGAGGCGTTCAGCCAGAGCCAGCCCATCTCATGCTGTGAGCCGTTTCTCTTTTCCTGTGCCTGGTATGTGATATGCAAATAAAAATAATGTCTGGAACGTAGCATCGCTATGTGAAAGTATATTTCCCTTCCCACAGAGGACAGAGGTGCAGCATCCTACTGAATCTCATGCTTAAGGATGCCAGCTGCACCAGTAGTCGGCTCTGGGCCGCATCTGGACAGAATTTTGTTTTGGTTGTTAATTGCAGGTCCTGACTTACGTGATTCCTCAGGATATGTAATGAGAACTGACTTTAAACATGATTGTGTGCAGAGGCACCATTTTCACCTACTGAGAAAAACTTTCTACCTGATCTTACCAATTATGTATGTTCCTAATCATTCCAGCATTCCATATAATTCTGGGATTGATGGGAGGGAGATGTTTGGATTTGTTCTTTTGGTTTGGGTTGGGTTTATTAACCTTTCTACTCTTTCAATCAGGTCTTGGTTTTCTTGCCTAAAAACCAATTATTTTACTCTTGTACTTATCTTAAGGTAGGCTGTTAGTGTTAAGCTTCAAGGCACTGTAAGAGGGATTGCTTCAGCTGACTGAGACCATAGCTTTACTTCAGAGTGTGAAGGGTTCCTGTGATACCAAATTGCCTTCGGTGGTTAAAGACTTAATAGCTTTTATTGATTGTCTCTGTAATAAGGCATTTTGTAGTGAACTTCTGCTTTGTATCAACACAGACTAGTGTCACAGTAGTGATAAATGCAACATGAAACAAATCTTAATGTCACCTCCCTTTCAGTGTTAGGAAGGATGGAGTTCCAGGGTCTGTCAAAGGGGCTTTTTTTTTTACTGATATTCAGCAGTAAAATTGATATTCTCCATCAGATTTGAGAGCACTTTGGTACTTACAAAAACAGGAGTTTTCTCCAAAACCTCAAGCTCTAAGCAGCAAAATGTGCCCCAGACAAGGTACTTGACTCTCCTGACCAATAGATTCATTAACAACAAGGTAGGGAAAGAGGAGGAGAGCAGTTGATGTGTAACTCTGTGGGGACCTATGGAAAACTGCTCAAGATATGCAGAAACCTAAGAGGTAAACACTGTACCAGTGGTCATGTGTGAAATAATTCCTGGAGCAGTGTGGAAAGGACACAAAGAGTACCCTTTGTAGTCAGGGAGCCGCTATTACCAAGGTGCTACTAACAATAGACTAGGAGGATCTTTCAGCACCTTTGTACTTTGGGTTGAATAAATCGTACCTCCTGGAGCCTTCTCACAAAAAGCAGTTCCTTTTTTTACCTTTTCACCGTGTTCTTCGGGTTTCTCACATTTTCAGGGAACGGGGTCTCAGAGGTGGCCTTCTGCCTTTTAATCTTCTTTTTTGCTTCCCCAAGGACAATGTTATTACAAAACGCAGCTTTCTCACCTCTCTGTGCCTTCAGAAAGGATACCTGTCACCTGTGCCCTCCAAAGAGAGGTTAAGGATTGTGTTTGCATTGTGTCTTCAGAAGAGTAGAAGCAGAGAGCCGGAGGAACCTGCCCGCCCAGCAAAACAGGATGCACTGTGTCTAAAAAAGATACATGCTTGCTATTGTGTAACATGCTTTAACTGCTTTAGAGAGGGGATAACACTGGGGGATGCGGTATAGACAAGTGGTCAGTGTTTAGACATTTTTTCCTATATATTGGAAGAAATTAAATAATTCCTTAAATAACTATGAAGACTATTCCAAGCCAAATCAGTAGTAAGAACCTGGTAGTTGTATACATTGAAGTCTGAAATTATCGATCTTGATTCTTCATGTATTTCAAGCTCAGTAGAGAGTGTTTTGTGTTTTTGAGGGTTTAGCCAAATAAGTTTGAGCTATTAAAGTAGTTGTTTCTTTTCTGTTTTAATACAGATATAATATAATGCAGAGCTATAATAATATCCTCCCAGGAAAAAATAAATACTTGTCCAGTCTAATACATGTGCATGCTTTTATGTGTGTGCACATACGTATATGTGTGTTTGGGTGGGGATATGCATGTGGACGTCTGTGTGTGCATATGTACAGTGTGTACATATGTACACTCCTTGCTCTCCCTCACAGAATTTTAGTGGGGATAAGTCTTTCTAAGAATAAAGTGTTTGATTCCTTTTCCATGATTCTCCAATGCATCAGCACTGTTTGGAATGTCAGGTGTGTCTTAGGCTTTTTTAGTTCTGTTATTAAATGACAGTTCAGCTGTATGGGAAGAGAAACTGATGCTGTTGTAGTCATTAAAAGAAAGAGTACTTTTCAAATCAGTCTTAGTAAATGAAGCAATGAAATCCAAATATGAATAAAAGAAACTTAAACCTTGCAGAAGTGTTGTGAAGTTGTTTGGGGTCTAACTCTTCAACAAGAAAAACACTTGTGGTTTTCATACCATGGGATGGAATTTCCTGGCAAGCTCACAGGATTTAGGACCATCACTGCCAATGCACCGATTTCCTCACAGCCCTCCTGGCACCAGTGTGGCAGCAAGAAAAATAAACCAGCTGTCATGCTAATGGAAACTGTCCACCTTTTCACAGACACCAGTGGGATTGGACTAGCCATGCACGTAGCCTTTCTCTGCCTAAGCTAAAGACCCTGTCAGGTCTTCCCTGACAGTTTTTCAGACTTAAGTAGCACCATGTTCTTCAGCTAATTCCTGATGGGACACTCCAAGACAAGAGGGACATACATACAAATAGCACCAAGCCAGTTCAGGGCAGAGTTTCGTCTCCTAAAACTAAAGAGCCTTAGAATTTGACTGTGGTAGAAGGAAACAATTGGTCCAATAGAGCAACAGAAACTATCTCCAGCATATGGACTTATAGCTCTCTTGTATGGACTGTTCTCTTTGTCCTTTGGCTTGATTCCTAAAACATACATAACCATATGTGTATATTCATCATTATATATAAAGCTACTATACACTGAGTGAGTTATGGAGCTTGAGGGGAGCAAGAGCATGGGGGTTAAGAATGGCTGGTGGCTGGGTAGAGATAGCACCCAGGAGAAGAAGAGCTGATGCTTGACCTGTGTGTCTCTCTGATGGTGGGGAGGAACTGAAGATTGTTGATGCTGAGACTAATGGAGTGACTGGAAAAGTTGCTGAGGGAAGCTGGGCGATTTGGCAGAGCTGAAAGAAGCCCAATGGCAAGGGAGGTGTGAGGTTTCTGAGGGTAGCATGTGCATATATGGATGTGCTGCCATTCAGAGGGCCCTCAATATTTGGAGAAAAAGGCCCACCAGAACCTGATGAAGTTTTGCAGTGGGAAATGCAAAATCCTTCACTCGGAGAGGAACAGCTCCAGGCATCAGGATGTGCAGGGGCCATACAGCTGAGCAGAGAGGCCCTTGGGCCCTTGGTGGACACCAAGCTGACCATGACCCAGCAATGTGCCCTCATGGCAAGCAAGGGCAAAGGCCTTCAGGGCTGCATTAGGAGGAGTGTCACCAGCAGGTCAAGGGCTGAGGCCTAGTGAGACGCATGGAGTGCTGTGTCCAGTCCTGGCTCACCAGTGTAGGACATAGTGCAGGCTGGAGCAAGTGCAGAAAAGGGCCATGAGGATAATGAATGGACTAGAGCATCTCGCACAAGTAGAGACTGAAAGAGATGGGACTGTTCTGCCATGACTGGGGCTCATGGGGAATGTAATCCCTATGTGTAGTTTTCTGATGCAGTAAATGCAGAAGACAGACTCTTCTCTGTAGTATCCAATGGCAGAAGGAATGGACAAACGTTAAGGAAGACCTTTTTCTCTGTGAGGGTGGTCAGACACAGTACCAGCTTGCCCAGAGAGGTTGTGGAGACTCCACCCTTGGAGACATTGAAAGACCCAGATGGACACAACCCTAAACTACCTGTTCAAAGTGACCTTGCTCTGCGTGAGGGTTTGCACTAGCAACCTCCAGCAGTCCCTCCAGCCCAGTGGTGTGCTGACCCTGCGGTTACAGCAGCGGGTACAGGTTCTTCAGCAGTGATGAGGCCCTTCAATCTGCCAGTTTCCATGTCTAGGCCAGAAGAGACCTGTGCTGTCAGGGGTAAGAGCTGCAGTACATTCTTCCCTCCCTGCTTTGCTGCATACCCACCTCTTTTTCCCTAGCTGAATCTGTAAAGCTGAACATAGCTGAAACCATAAAGCAGAGGCATCTCCTAGGTCAGCCAAGGAGTGAAGCAGCAGGGGAGAAGTGAGACTGGCTATTTTCTGCCACACACCTTGCTACACTGCATCATTGCCACTAGAGTTGGGATGGTGACTGCCTGCTGCTGTACAATATGATGGTGAAGCAGGATTCAGCCTTCCTTTTCTATTCCATTCTGCTCTTCACAGTCCTCCACATTGAATATAAGTGAGGCAAACCCAGCAGGTGACACTGAAAAATGAAGAGACCTCCCTGATTAAAAGTAATTCTGACATGCACCATATGGACCTCATGATTTGAGCCCTTGGGTTGTATTTAGTATGTTGCAGCAATTAGAACAATTCAAGTAGATTGTCTGGCCATCTGAAGGTATCACCACCTGGTGCGTGCATTTGGGTAAGGGGGGCCATTCTGGCACCATTAGTAGCAGAGTGAAAGCTACACATTACTTTCACCCCTAAAAGCCACACTGTAGGTAGTTACTAACCATACACAAATCAAAATGGCACAAGGGGTAGCAGTAGTTAGGAGTGGAAGTGGCATCTCATTGTATAAATAGTAAACCAAGCCCCTCTCCTGCTGTAAGCCAGTTATCATATTCTAGCAGTCAAACAGTAAAAAAAAACAGAGCAACACAAAGCCAAAACCAGGCCATTCTAAAATTTGACATTTATACTGCAGGAGTCCTAAAGAACTGCAAAATCTTGCCAGGCTTGTCAGCTCTGCAAATCAGGACACTTATTTTAGTCAGTGTTAAGAACCTGTCACATTACTTGCTGTCTTAAAATGGGCAACTTCCATCAGCTTGCAGTACTCGTAGCTGTTGCTGCTGCTCAGCAACAGACTGACTTCTAACCAGTGGCATCACTCACCAAACGAGGGAAGCAGTCTGCTGAACATGCTCACATTCATGTGGATGGAGCAATGAAACTGCTATGTGCGTGGCTGGGACCACACTGAGCATAGCTGCATCCTTCACTGCTGGTAGCCTCTGGCTCAGCAGTGCTGTCATTTTGGACAAATCATTGAACAGTTTGTTTTCTACCCAGTGGAGTCCATATTCATGAGAGAAAAGAGAGTAGCAGAATTTAGGCCCAGGTTTGGAAGACCTCCTCAGTCTTGCAGATAGGCGTGAAGTCAGCTGTGAGTGATGTCGCGTGCTGCACTGGAGTGCATGTCACTCACAGTCTGAGTCTTCCAGGCTCTCCTGGGTTCAAGCAGTAAAGGTCATTAGATGTTTCCACAGACTGTTCTGCTTTGCTGCCAACAGACAAG